CATATCGCACACAACACAATCATAAAACTTAGGCTTAATAAAAATGCTTCAGCCGTGTGCGGGAGGAGAAGAATGTGGCAAAGCCCGGGACTCCAGCGGGCTTTTCCTCGCTCTGCCAGAGGACAGGACTGTCTGCAGTCCGGGAGCCTGACTGTGGTCTCCTCCGGCCGCTTAGCACAGAGGAAGCCGGGAAGCCGGGAAGCCAGGCCGGCCAGAGGCAGGCTCGTGAGCACAGGCGTGCACAGGGGAGGGAGAAAAGAGACCTCTTTCCATACCCCAGCACTGCAAATCGGGGCACTGGCCCTGCTGGCATTTAGAGCACCATCACCACTACATGCTCAGCTTCTGGGCCAGCCTCGGGGCTGGGGGGATCACAGCGCTTCCCCACACTCACAGCGCGTGGAGACAGCAAGGAGTTAAAATGAAGCCAGGAGCAGCGTGGAGACCCGGCCCCCTCGCCTGGGGGGAGGTCCCGAGAGCTAAAACCAAAATGCAGGGGACAATCCTCAGACCAACGTCCTCTCTCTCTCCCAAGGCCAGGTGAGAGGCAGACTGGGTCACCAGGGGAATTTGCTTTTGGGAGACGGTTTTGGAAGAAGTTCGATTCCACTGGCTGCTTTCACATGTTTTGTGAGAAGAGCCTCTCGCACAGCAAACTCAAGCACAGTTGAATTCTGAAACCCAGAATGGTGAGCGATTGAGTTTTTTTCCAGTAAGCACACGGAAGGAGGATTCACCTATTTGATTCAAGCCTCTGCCTTTAAAGTTTCTTATACTGGGGTCCAAAAGAGACAAGAAAGCCCGAAAGTTCGCTTGATGGAAAAAATTCATTTACTTCAGGAAAGAGAAAACAGGAAGAGCCGCTGCTCAGATTCACCCCAGTGCCTTTTAGTCTGCAGTCTGGTGATTCCCACCTGGTGGCATTTACGTGGAGTTTTTCGTCTATGTATATTGTTAAATTCTATGATTAAGCGGGAATGAAAACCGTACGACTTAGAGCTTCATATTCGAAAGTCGTCTCTTTTCTTGTGAATTGATTTGATATTTAAAAAAGCTTTCTTTAAAGACCTGTAAGGAGAAGGTATCCCAAAGCTGGCAGCCATTGTAAACTCAAATGATTTCTGTGTCTTAAAGAATATTGCAGGGGAGCAATGATATGAATTTTCATAAAAGGCTCCGCCTGAATGAACGCTGACACACCCCGAAACCCCAGCCTGACTCTAAGCTTTTCGCAGGCAATTTCTCTGCCTTCTGTTGAGAACGTGGCCATTTATTTGTCCCAGAACTCCGCTTACCTACAAGAAGCCGCCTCTTCGTGTCTGGAAAGTGATAAAAGGGGGAGAAAATAGGCAGGGTCATGCTAAATACAGTTTGAATTCCGAGGACCCGTGTTTCGTGTGGTTCACCCGTGTTCAGTCAAGTCGTTGTTGTTACAAAGAGAACCTGAAGTGTTGGAACAAGGACTTAACTTCAAATCCAGTCTGTTTGGCGTCATTATTTTTTAAAGCCATTTAGAGCAGACATTTATTGGCGCTAGTAAACTCAGCTGTTGTTAAGAGGGTTCCCCACCCTCTCAGAACCTTAAACCAAAGAGAAAATTCCAGCCTTGCCGGTGCAACACAACCCGGGGACTCAGGCACGACTTCAACAGCGTAGCGGACGCAAGTGTTTATAAAAAGGCATAGATGCTTAGATGCTGTCGCTTAAGAAAATATACTGCTGTCGCTTAAGAAAATATACTGTTCTTCTTCCTTTCTGGGGGCCAGTCCCCCTCCCTGAGGCCGCTGCTGGGGGCTAAAGGCTATCAGAAACTCCAGACTTTATTTTTGCTTGAACAAACTTCTCCCACCATGCTGCCTTAGTGCGGTCTGAGCAGGACCCACCGCGGGTCGCACAAGGAAGGAGGATTATAAGCAGACGGCAGGAATGTGTAGGGAGCTGCAGTCATAATTTATGACAGGCCCTGCAGGAAGGGGCCTGCAGTACAGTAAATGCGCAATTTGTGACGCCCTCGAGCCAGGAGCCGGCCCAGGCTGGGTCTGCAGACGCCCGGTTCCCACCGCAGCCGGCCTTTGTCCCGGGAAGTCGCCTGACCCCGCCGGCCAGGAACAGTGGCGTTCTCGGCGCGTCTGGCTGATAAGGCCTTTGTGACACCGGGGACAGGCTGTAAAAACGCAGCCGGCTTTTGTCTGCACCTCAGCGCCGCTGGCAAGGGCGGGGCCTGCGACTTCGGAAAAGTTTGCGCGGATTCCCGTTCACCTCTGACCCCCAAAGCAGTTGGAGGCAGGTCGGAGGACCCCCGCCCCGCCCCGCCCCGCCTCGGGCCCTGCGATCAGCAATAATAGCGATTAATTCCGACTGCGGCTCCAAGTTCCGTGGCCAAGGCGCCCTCCTCCTGCAGGTCCCGGGCCAGGGAGGGGGCGCCCGCGGCCCAGCCGCCTTCCCGCCGCGGCGGCTCCAGGGCAGTGTCTGCGCCGGAGGGCAGGGTCTCCCGGCACATCTGGTGCCCTCGGAGCCGGAGTGGGGTCCCAGGAGACACGGGGGCCCTCGGATTGGGGGAAGAGGGGGGAAGGGGTTTCCTTCCGCAGCCCCGTGGATCAGAGGAGGGAGGCTTGGCGCCCTCGGAGCTGGGGTGGGGGATCCCTGGAGGACCAGCACCCTTGGGTGGGGGACATCCCAGGAGATCTGGCTGCCCTGGGAGGGTAGGGTGTAGAGAAGGGATTCTGGGCGGTGTCCTGGGAGTGTCTGTGGGCTTCAGAGAGGGGATGGGTTGGGGGCGGGGGTCAGGGGAGTCTCGGAGGCTCTCGGAGGGGGCCAGGCGGAGGATCCAGGAGGGCCGCGCCCAGCCCCCGTCTGCCCACCAGCCCTCTGCCCGCCACTGGAGCGGAGCTGAGCAGCGGGGTGGGCCGGAGGATGCCAGAGGTCTCACATCAGGACCCTCCATGTTGGGGGGGTGCAGCCTGGAGCCAAGGGGCGGGAGGCCAGGGTCCACATCACCCTCTAACAGGGACCCTTGAGAAGCCTCCGATGCGCCCGCTGACCCTCCTCTCTCCTGCCCAGTGCCCGGGCCAGGCCACCTGCCCCAGGGTCGTCAGCCAGGCCGGACACTCAGCAGCCCCTTCCACCTGCGTCTGCTACAATGCCACTCGCAGCACGGCTCACAGGGTCACCCGGGCTTTGTCCCAGCTGGCGCTTCTCATCCTGCACTTTGGGTCCAATTTTCTAATACAGTGGCTCAAGTTTCTTTTTCGAAAAAGAGACAATTATTCAGCCACTGTGTGATTTTATTTTTTGATAAGATGATACAAAACTGGGGTCCTAATAACAATGGGTTTAATTGAAGAAGTTACTGTGGGCCAATTTCTCCTCTCCACTTTTACATCTCCTCATAGTTTTAGCAACTTACGTGAGGTACCCTAAGGGAACTTCACACACTGCTGAGAGAGGCTGTGCGCCTGCTATCCTCCTGCGTGCAGTTCCTGTCTGGGTGTCTTGGGAGTAACAGACACTGGGCGTTACAGTCATGCTGTGGCTTCTGTGTGTCCTTTGAGAGTTCCTTGGTGTCATTCTGGAGTCAGTTTGGGACTGGCAGACTGTAGTGAAATCCACAATGTGGGGGTCATGGGGAGGAGCATGCAGGGGCCATGCCCAGCTGTCTTGGGGGTGCCAAGCTGTGTCCAGCCACAGACCCCAGCCAGGTCCAGCTGCTGGAGAGCCTGACCTGACACAGGATGGTCAGTGGGGATGGGAGTGTCACCCACAAGGAGGGCCATGTCCCCTCCATCCCTGGGAGCCCTTCCCTTTCTGAGTCTAGAACCACTCTGTTTTCTTGGAGGAGCCTCAGCCCCAGGTCCCACAGGGGCAGGTGGATTTTCCTTGGGCTTCTCCCCAGCCTCGCAGCCAGTCCTCCGGCCAGGACTGCAGGTCCCTGGAAGCTCCCCAGTTACTGTGATCAGAAGAGAGTCTCAAACACCCACATGTGCGGGGTGGGCAATGATTCTCCCAAGAGAAACACACCTACCACCAGACACTCCCAGACCAAAGACGCAGGGTTTCTGGTGTTGGCGGCACAGCCCACGCCCTGACCCAGGCCTCAGATGGCCCAGCCTCCCCTTTCTGAGCTTCTAATTTTCTTCATCTCGACCACCACGTCCACACCCCAAGACAACCTCCTCTTTTCAGGAGGCCCCGGCAAGCCACGGTGACACAGCCCCCAACAGCACTGCTCAGTGAGTGGAGTTCCAAATGGAGGTCCCCTCGCCCCCAGGGCTTGGCCAGGCTGCAGAATCTACCTGAGCCCACCAGTTCTCAAGGGTGTCTTCCATCCCAGACTCTTGCCTGTGGGGTCAGCCTCAAGGCGCCAAGTTGACAGTGGGCACATAGTCCTGCCCACCCCAGCCATCCTGGCTGATGGCATCCCCACTCATGGAAGAACCACAGCCCCGTGTCCTGACCCACTGGCCAGGCTCAGCTCGTGGCCACTTTCAGAAACAACCAGATTCACTCCACACCCTGAGCTCCCCCTCCCCCACCACCACTGGCAAAGGGTGTCTCACTTACATACACGAAATTGAACAAAAGAAACTTGAGAACCCACCCAGGTGGGCTCTTGGTGGAAGCAGGGCTCTGCTGTGCCCCCAGAACACCCCCAGCTGGGAACTTTGATGCGGATCCTACCTATTTAGTCAGCCACCCCCTTTATGAATATCCTAAAACCCAATAAAGCAAATTAAAAGGGGACGCAATTCCTTCTGCGCATACTCTGCAAAAGTTCCAGAGGAGACCCTCTTGGTGGCAATTAGAGGAAAATCAAGTGCAGGCTGAGCTGCGTGTCCACACGGTGTGCGAGGGCTGAGCGTGCACAGTGTGAGGGCTGAGCGTGCCGGAGCTAGCGTGCAGTGGAGGGCTGATGTGTGCACAGTGTGAGGCTGAGTGTCACTAAGAGGCTCTCTAGACACCAGCAACACCTCGACCCTTTCTCTCTGGTTCTCCATCACTAGATTTCTATAAAGTCATTAAGACCATTGAGCCAGGTGAGGAGCTGCTGTGGCACGTGAAGGAGGCGGTCTACCCGCTGGCAGCACAGTGCCGCCCGCCTGCTGGACGGTAAGACACCCCTCCCCCCGAACTGGGGCCCACGGCCCTGGGAGACCCCAGCCCCACCCGGAAGAGGAGCAGACGCTGGGAGGACCCAGGGGCATCTCATCAATC